TGATTCCTATTTAAGTCCATAGAAGAGAAGCTTTTATTTTATTCTATTGTTTTGATTTTTTATATTAAGAAAATTCAAAAAAAATTTGTAATTCAACTATTACTTACGAGGCTTTAATAAGGGGCTTGAAAAAAAGGGTTTATTCTAGATTTTGAGTTTTTAAAATATTTAAAATAATTTTGGGGGAAACTGTAATATACTTCAGAAACATAAGTCGTTGTAGTATAGTGGTGAGTATTCCCGCCTGTCACGCGGGTGACCCGGGTTCGATCCCCGGCAACGGCGTTTGTACTTTTTATAATATTAGAGGATTTTTTTTTTCATTGATTTTATTTTATTTTTTGAATTTTTAAGCTATTTTTATGTGACCATAGTGCTGCTTAAATGATTTGTTGTTGAATTATAGAAATTTTTTCATTGATTTTTTTTTTGAATTTTTGAGCTATTTTTTATGTGACCATAGTGCTGCTTAAATACCTCGCTGTTGAATTATAGAAATTTTTTCATTGATTTTTTTTGAATTTTTAAGTTATTTTTATGTGAACATAGTGTTGCTTAAATAGCTTGCTCTTGAACTAGAGAAATTTTTTCATTTATTTTTTAGCTTATTTTTATGTTAACCAGAGTGCTGTTTAAATGGCTTGCTGTTGAATTATTAAAATTAGACTTCTTTTTTATTTATTTGTTATGATTCCTCTTTTAAGTCCACAGAAGAGAAGCTTTTATTTTATTCTATTGTTTTGATTTTTTATATTAAGAAAAATTAAAAAAAATTGTAATACAACTATTATTTACGAGCCTTTAATATGGGGCTTGAAAAAAAAGGGTTTATTCTAGATCTTGAGTCCAATGATGATGTGGCTGGAATTTAGAATGTTTTTTGTTATCTTTAGTCTATGGATTTCTTTAAGATATTTAAAATATTTTTTGGTGAAGCTTAATAGCTACTATGTGTAATATTGAGTTGTGCATGTTATGCTTAAGGTTGTAATAGTATTCTTTAAATAATTGGGTGATGTATTTGAACTTAAAAATAGATCATAATAATTGAGACTCTCGGACGAAAGTTTTGTATGATCATCGCACATCTTTTGATTTTAAAAAAATTATATAAAATAACTATTATAATAACAAAATCTTATGAATTTGAGTATTGGATAGTTGAGAAATAAAATATATAACAAGTTTATACCAAAATCTAAGTAATAGATATATATATAAATATTTATTAGTATGTGGTAAAAGTAAAACCCAAAGTCGTTGTAGTATAGTGGTGAGTATTCCCGCCTGTCACGCGGGTGACCCGGGTTCGATCCCCGGCAACGGCGGCACGTTTTTTTTTTTTTTTTTTTTTTTCTGTTTTAGAGGATTTTCTTCTTGATTTTTATTTTAAATGGCTTCTTTTTGAATTATAAAAACTAGACCTTTTTTCTTTTTATTAGTTTTGATTCATCTTTTAAGTCCACGGAAGAGAAGCTTTTGTTTTATTTTTATTGTTTTGATTTTTCATATTAAGAAAAATCATTTTTTTTATTCTCTTTAGTTTATGGATTTTTTAAAAAATATGTTGTCGTTCAATTTAATAGAATATCTAATTTATTAACTTAAATATATTTATACCACTAGTCCAAAATAATTAAACCTAACTTTATATTTATAGACTAGAGAGTAGTAAATTGGAGTATATGATCTTTTGTATATCTGAACTTAGCATCCTTCTTAAGGATCAATATAGCTTTAGATTCGTTCTCTAATATGTGTAACTTAATCTTTAGCTCCATTTTAGATAATCTTTTTTTACTCGAACTCCTCATCATCATGTCATGTAGTATCTTAATAAGTAACATTTTGCGCTTTGTTGAGGTGATTATATGCATCAAAGGGCATATTTATTTTTCGTTTTTTTAGCTATTTTATGGTTCATAAACAGTGGCTAATTTTATCTATCTATCTTTCGAGTGTTTCTATTCTCATGGAGAGGTGATGGGATGTTCGTTTTAGCAGAGAAACACTTGCTCATGTTAAAGGAATTTAACAGATTTAGCTCCATGAATTGCTTTATTTCTTGTGAGGAAACATTTGCTTTGTGATCTGCAGAAAAGCATTTGATAGTAGTTTAAGCTGGGCGTATAATTATTCCAACAGTTAAGAGTTATATGTTGGTCAACTTAAATATGTAATCAAGGAAGGAAGACATGCATTCTTAATTATGTCGTGGAGGATATCTCAACTTAGAAGATCAATCTTGTTCTATAATCTCATAAATATCTAACGAAGTCTTTTACTGCCCTTAAACTAGTTAGAATAAATCTAAGAGTGACATAAATGAAGAAAATGATGGGATAATTTTGGAAAAAGCTATGTTTGACCTGACTAATTATGTGTTTTAATGATATATCTAGCATGATACTTAACCCTCTCTACCTAGCATACCAATCTCCTGTACCTAAGCTTCTTCCAAATCATTGGTGATATGAAATCCTGTGATTAGATGAGAACTAAGGAATCATTTCAATTACTAATGACTGAAAAAGTCAGATGAAACCCACGGCTTCAGTTCTTAATTTTTTCAGATTATATTGATATTGAATCTTATCTTTGGATCAGTTTGTCTTTGAGTCGTATGATTTAGAATATCAAGATGATATGAAGAAAGAAATGCATTTTGCCGATCTTAGAGATTAATAAGGAACCTTAGAATTCTAGTCTGGGATTCCTTTCTATCCTGATGATATGATTATTACTAATAGATCATGATATGAAACCTGGAAGTCAGAAGAGATGCACAATAGATCAGACCTCTCAAAACCTACCTCTCAACCATCTCCTCGCTGAAAGAAAGAGATGGTATGATAGATCCGACACACTAGGTAAAGAGTGATATTGGCACGGCTCAATCAGATTATAAACACACCTGTTCAAATCTGATTGAGCCATTCCAACATCACACTCTCACCCAGCTAGCTTGCTGCTCCCTTCATCAACGAGGAAAGCGGTGGTGAAGGGAAGGGAAGGGAGAAGGCCATGGAGATATAGAGGAAGGTGTAGAGGATGGTTGAGACGTCAATGTCTTCACCCGCATGGGTTACGACAAGACATATTTCATAGAGAAGCATAAGGATATTGTTAATTTGTCTTCCCACGTAGTGGTTGTGACGTACATATATTGCATGTTTCCTTGGCTTGACTGAGTCCAACAGCATGCACACTTGAGTTTGTTTATAGATCCCATTTAGGTGGGTTGATGACCCAATTCCTATGCTCATAATTATATTTCGAGTTGTATGCGCTCGACTTGACAAAGAGAAGAATCTATGGGAAGGATATTGTTAGTTGTTGAGTAGATCATGAATTGAAGATAAGAGTAATAGAGAATATTAGGTCTGATATCATATACTGTCGCCGGACATATATAGGACAGGAAGAAGGTGCAGATTCGCTCGCTTCATCATCAAGAGATTTGATGAGATGGTGCGGACCAAGCTGTCCTGCTAAGCCATCGTTAATTATGGGAAGCTGAGGGAAGAAAAGACGAGGCAGAGGGAGGGAGGTTGGAGATTCGCCTGTGTGGTGTTTTTGGTGGTTCGGAAGGGAAGCGATGGGGTCGTCGGTCGGGGAGGAGCGTCACTTCCTTCGTCGCGTGGTGTGTGTGCACGCTTGCCTGCGGTCTTCTTCCTTGGCTTGCATTGGTGCGCAGGCGGAAGTGCTGCTTCGTCTTGTTTGTTTAGGAGGACTAGTAGTAGTGGTTGAGGTACGTACGCCATTACTGATGCTTGTCCTTTGGGCTCTCCAACAAACATCATGATTGGATATTTCTTTTCCCATCAAATTATATGCAGCAAAACGTAATGCTTTCCCATTTCATTTTCGATCCATTAAAGAAAACATAATAAATGATAGAAAACACTGTAAGATTGTACGATTCGATATTTTGCTTTCTTGGCACGATCAGGAATTGGACTCCCAATGTTACCCCCTCCGAGTGTTGGGAAATTAATGCATCGCCCTTCGCCGAAAAAACGTACCGCCGGCGACTCACACATCAGTCGGACGAAGCGCCACCGCGTCCTGATCTCATGCGGCGGCTCGTACTTGCGCCATGGACCCCTCGAACGCCCCGCCGTAAGCTTGGTCGGACCCGCCGCCGTTGCTCCCGCGGTATGCCCCCGAGTCCTCCGGTTCCACCGGCACGTGCTGCGGCCCCCTCAGCAGCGCGGTCGGCGCCTGCTCCGACACCCGCCACACCTTCACCGACTTGTCCAGGCTGCCGCTGTAGACGATCCACCTCGCGACGGAGCTGCCACCGTCCTCGCCGGCGTCGTCCGTCTCTATGGCGAGGCACTTGACGGGGCCGGAGTGGCCGCTGAGCACCGAGAGGCAGGTGTGCACCGCGCCCTCGCGCCTCCACACGCAGATGCTCTTGTCCGCGGAGCCACTCAGCAGCAGGTTCCCGGCCGCCGCGAGGCAGAGCACCGACATCTTGTGGCCCTGCAGCGTCCCGCCGTGGGACTGGTGCTGCTCCCCCTCCCAGAAGTTGACGATCCCGTCGGAGGAGCCGCAGTAGACGATGGACGCCGTCGGGCTGACCGCCAGCGTGGTCACGGCGATCTCCTGCTTGAGAAGCGTCTGCACGAGCGTGTGCTTGGTGCCCTTCCCATGCAGCTCCCTACGCCACACCTTGACGGTGCCGTCGGCGGAGCCGGTGAAGACGAGCCCGCCGAAGGCCGCCACTACCGAGTTGACGGCGTCGTCGTGGGCGACGACGGACTCCAGGCATCTGGAGTCGGAGATCCGCCACACCTTGAAGGTCTTGTCCCAGGATCCGGAGTAGAGCAGCCCCTGGTCCTCGTTCAGGCTGAGGGACGAGATGGCGTCGGAGTGGCGAATCCACAGCGCACTGCGGTTGCGCCGGACCTCGACGTAGTTGGAGGGGTTGAGAGAGCTCCGGAGGACGTCCTTGAGCCTGGGAAGGGTCCCGATCCGCTTGTGCACGGTGGCGTCCTTCGGCGACACCCTCCAGGCCCGGATGCGGCCGTCCTGGTGCCCGGTGAAGATGCGGTCGGACGCGACGACGATGGCCTTGACGAGCCCGCTGCTGGACTTGAACCCGGCGAAGTCCTTCTGGTTCTTCCACACCCGGATGTTCTTGCTGTCGGAGCCCGTGTAGAGGAGGCCACCGGTGGCGGCCAGGGAGTAAATGTGGCCCTCCTCCCGCACCAGCGACCCTATGAGCCCGGTGCAGGGAAGCGCCGCGGCGTCAGCGTCGCCGGATGCAGGGTCGTAAGGCGGGTAAGGGGCGCTCTGGTGCCAGGGGGACGAGATGAAGGGTGAGCTCTCGCCGCTCGTGGCTACGGTGTAGTCCGAGTCGAACCCGGAGCCGGCCGTGGCCGAGGAGGTGCTTTGTCGCGGGAAGTCATCGTCCGTTGACGACTGGTGCACGTTGGCGTACGTGGCGACGTGACTACTGCCAAGACTGCTGCCTGCACCCTCCCCCATCAACGTTTTGGCAGACGGGAAGGGGAGGAAGGACGTTGACGGACAGGTCTTAAAGGTGGTCGACGAAGGACGGAAGAAAGATAGATACGGCGAAGAGACGAGGAAGGAAGGCTGGAGGGGAAGGAGCAAAGGTCGGAGCAGGAGGACGGGGTGTATATACAAATAGGAGAAGGAGAACGGGGTGGGGGGGGGGGGCGAGGGACGACAGAGCAGAACGGAGGGAACGTCGCGGGGAACACGCGAGGCCGTAGCGAGGGTGACGGAACGGAGCCTTCGCCTCGCCGCCGGTCCACCCCCATTCCTTTCGGGCGTTGACCAGGTCCTTAACCTTTTGTCGGGACGTGTTGAATTGGTCAACGATTCGGCATGGTTCATTCTAAGGGAGCAAAGCACACAATATAAAGCTTCTCCATCACAAGAAGCTCAGTCCGTAACATAAAACCACCTAATAACATATCCTTCTGCAGCAAAAGAGAGCAACAAAAGCAGCAGCAGTAACGTCTCTACTATCGACGTGCCACCACCTCGATCGGATCACGGCCTTTTGTGTTACCCTTTCCTTCAGTCGAGAGCTCGGTCGGCAGCACGATGGCCGGCGTTACTGCTCGAAAGATGTTGACCTCCAAGACGAAGTCGTAGTTCTTTGCTATGATGATCTCAAAGAGACACACATCATCCTTTTCCAGTTCATTATCCACTACGAACTGCCTCCATCCTGAGCCGAACTTAGTTGCCTTGTAATGCACAATATAGTTGACTTGCCAGGTTCCACCACTGGGCAGACGGAGGAGGACGCTTTGATCGCATCCAGGCATGTTTTGTACTGCAAATCCATGTGGGATAACCTGCACAAGTTGCATGCAACGACAGCTTGATTGTTTCTCCATATGGCTTGAAGCAATGGCGTGGGAACGATGAACTCACCAGAACATAACTTTGGCTGACATTACTTTGCCTCAGCTCTGCTATAAATGATGGATGTGCTGTTTTCATTGAACGGGCGAGACTCAGAGCTCTTTGTTTCTCCTCCGCAGTGGCAGGTCTCCTGGTAGGGTTGATGGACGATGAACTTGATCTCATCTTTGTCATGTTCTCTTCTACGTTTCCTTTCTCGTGCTCATGCTTCACGTCATCTGCAACATTTCAAGAAAAGCACATCTAATGTCGCAGGAATTAAGATATCATACTGAGGATTCGAGTTATCGATGTGATGTTCTGCAGGAGATTCCGATGTTCTCCTCCTACAACTCCTGCGTCGTGGCTGTTGTCTGATTAATGATCGCCTAAACGAGCATTCCTTGCCTGCAGACATGATGGGGTTGCGGTCCGAAGCATGCTCTGCTGCTGCATTGGCCGACTCGTCGTCGCTGCACTTCTGATCGTCTTCCAACGGTGGTTCTACGGACTTGTGCTTGCTGCCCCGTGAAGGGCATGCGTCGCCAACCTCTGCAGCTGTCTTCTCTCCTATAAAGGACGAGTGCTCCTTCTCGCAGGCAGTCTTGTCGAAGACCAACACCTTGAAACATGAATCGCCGATGTATCTGAAGACGAGGAAGTCCCCTAGCTCCAGCAGATGGTCTTCTGCAAACTTACTCCACCCACCCGTGAAAGCAACATCGTCACCGCTTCTCTTCAGCTTGACGTTCCATAGGTTTCCGCTTGGCCCTTTCAGCTTTGCATCCTCCGGTAAGTCCTTGAAGTGCAGCACAAACTTCCTGGGGATGCTCTGCAAACATGGCGTGCAATGCGCATATCATCAGATGCCAACACTGTTGCTGGTAAGGCCGAATGAACAAGCTTTACGAGCTACTTACGAGTTTTCTTGAGAAATCAGCAATCAGAACCTTGAAGAAACGCCTCTTTGTGGCTTCAAAATGATTCCAGTAGTAGTGCTGCTTCCATTTCCTGCATTCGAGGCACCTCACGTCCACCTCGTCCATGACAGAGGAAGAAGAAGAAGAAGAGTTCTACGAGCTATGAAGTTGAACCTTGCGAGGACATCTAAACTGGCCTGCAGACAACATTGCCGAGTTGGAGAAGGAACAGCGACGCTTTGTGGTCTGGCCGAGGGCCATGGAGTGGGGGAGTAAATGTAGAACTCTTCCCGGCATTCAAAACCTTCACCAACCGATCATTACTAGTATTGGACTCCGCCGGCTATATATGCATCTGCTGACTGCACACACTGAAATTACTACTATTGAACTCACCTATATGTGTATGTATTTGTTTCCTGCAAACTCTGAAATCTCGACGTAGGGGGGTTTGGAAATAGGTTTGAACCGGCTAATTACATGTTATTACCTAATGTACTTAACTATATTTAGTATAATATTTTTTATATTTTAAAAAATTATATTGAGTAGTTACGAAATTGAAACATACAGATCAATTTATCATAACGTCGTCGATTTTATCAACGAAAATATAAAAATATAAAAAATTAATTTTAACATTCTAATTGGTGATAACGGGTGGCGTCGATGGTTGCAGAAAACGATACCACTAAGGGTCGTATATGGCTATTGTGGATGAGGAGAACGATGACCAAAGGTGATAGCTACTCTACATCTACATTGACGTCAACATAGTTGCCAAGCAACCCTTTCGTTGCTCAAAATCTGCGTCAATGTCGGCACAATTATCGAGCGATTATATCGATGCCGATTTAGTTGTCGAGTGGCATCACTTAGCATCTGCATTGATGACTCTTTTGTCGCTCGGTAATTACATCGACGTCAACACATATGCAAAGTAGCCCTCATCTCTCGTCATCACTCTCTTCATTCATAATAGTCATCCAGATTCTAAGTGGTTTCCTCGTCCGCCACCAACTAAAATATTAAAAATTATATTTTTATTTTTGAATTTTTGTTAGTAAAATGGATGATGTTAGAATAAATGAATCTAAATATTTCACTTTTGTAATTATAGTTATAGAAATACTAATATAACTTTTTAAAATATAAAGATCGAAATTAACTACAAAGAATAATTTATAACCACACCGATTGTTACATTACCTTAAGCGCAAAGGTGGTGTTAAGGGGTCACCTGTCTCTTCTTTTAAAATTACATTCATGAATAATGCTAAAACTTATATAAGATGTAGCTAATAGATTTTATTTTTCTTTATTGAGATTTTTTTTTTACTTCCTAGGAAAAGTCACTTTTTTTTTTAATTTATCTCAAATTCTCTTTTTCAGATTTTTTTATTTATTACCTTTATTTCTTCTAATATCTTAAATTCATTTTTCAAGTTAAATATATCATGTGGGACTAGTGCACCCCATGGACTGATTTATTGGGAACTGTTTTATTGGGAGAAGAGAGAAAGAAGCATTAAGAAAATGGGACACTAAATGAAAAATATGAAAAAAAAAAAACATCAGTTGAGAAAAATTAAAAAATACTTTTTCTATAAAAAAAAATCACCCGTGTTTTTTTTATTCCATCAAAATTTTAATCTATGAAATTGAACTGTTTTACCACCACCAATGATCCTCTATATGATGATGAGATTTTTGAGTAGTAGGCAGAAGTCTTAAAGAGTTGGTACATAATTGAATATGTTGTTGCACACCCACTAAACATGCCAGAAATAGATAATTCATGATTCAGAAAAATCATAATGATGGGTGGATTAAACAGAGATTCATCAAATTTTCCTCCTATTTATTTGTTGGATCATAATGACATTAACCTACCAAATTTTCCGAACCCCAAAAAAAAACACCTTTGTTACATTGTGCTCCAGAAAGATTGCATCTTACTTTACCAGATCATTGTAACATCGTCACACCAATTTCTAAGACTCAAATGACACTTGTGTTCGAACACATAAGACATTATGGCCCAGAAAGATTGCATTTTTACTCTCTCAACACCAATGACAAGCGGTTAAACTGATCCAAACCTGACACTCCTATCAATCTTGGTACAGAAAGAATCTAGAAAAAATAAATGAAAACACCGCTTTAAAAGAACACCAGGTGAGGCAATCAACAATACTAGCCATCGCTTTTTGTCCGAGTGGCCTTGGGGTCTTCCCATGCACCATATGACATGCCGACGATTTCGACAGCAATTCCCTTTATAATAGGTGCAGACCATTGAAACAAACCAGACTAATCTATGCAGCAACAACCGGATCCTGTTTCGTCATGTGAAGATTGCAAGAGACACAAACAGATCACAAGAGAGTGATGAGCATTAAAATATGTGGCATTCTATGACATCCTGACTCATTAAAGTATCAAGTCCAAACAGATTCGTCAAAAGTTTACTAAATAGAAGATGCAAATGCCAAACTTCAATACAAGACCAGCAGGTTAAGCAAGACATACAAATATATTATAGCCATGCAGCAATAAAAGGTTTCTAAGATATGGCATAATCTGACAGTAATACAAGAATTACACTATATCAGTCGAACAGAAATCCAATTCAAGAAAAGCATCTGCATTTAGTATCACGTGGCCCTGACTCGGATTATATTTACAAAGCACTGGGACTAGCTGGCCATAGATGACATTACTAAGCCCATGTGTATTGGTTATGCTCAAATTAACCCATGCATTCACCTCTGAATGCCAGCTAGAGTAAATAGTTGTAGAGACTTTGTAAGCTCCCAACATAGCAAGTTTCAAATTTTATATTTCATGATTCAGTGTAAGTTCATTAGTAATGTCTACGTATTAAACTCAAAGTTGTCGTGCGTTTTTTCATGGCCATGATGCCATGCATGCTTATTTTAAGAAAGATGTATTTTTTGGTTATGGTTTCTAGGATTTTAATGGCAAACAGTGACTTGAAGAGCTCTAATTTTGACTCTTGCATCAAGGTTCTGATTACAAGCCTGGTTGCAATTCAGACTAATGCCACAAACATCAATCTAGAGGATGAGCCCAGAGGCCACAGTTAAATTGGTCCCATGTAACCTGGTTGTCCAGGTTGAACTAATGGAAAACTCTCTTAACTTGTAGAGGTAAGGTTGTGTATATTGTCCCACCCCAAACCCAGCGTTGTTCGCTAGGCTACCCTTCACTACAAATATCAACAACATAGTTGCAAAACAACCCTTTGTGGACAGTTGTCTCAATTTTCAGCATCTTAACATGTATACACAACTGATTTCAGGTGCATTCTCAATAGATGAGGTACAAGTTTTCCAATTAAAATTGAACTATGATAGTTGACAAGTTAGTGCATTACCTTTTCTGTTAAATTTGAGACTGCCAATTGAAACTTCTCCCTTGTTCTGGTGCCTGCAACATGACCAGCCTTTGCCACTTTTCCAAAAGCACCATTTAACCATGCAGTTCCAGCAGTTACATACCTAGACAATCAGTAATTCAACATGGGATGAGGTTTGCATTTCTACTAACATCCAATGCATTAATAGCAGCTAAAGAATGACAATTGACAAAATAATAATGCTAAAAAATTTATATACCAAAATATTTAGCCCAGGTTCATCAAACTTCGATTCCCTTGCCATATAATGTACTAGAAACTCACTACTGTCAATAGTCAAAACCAAAATAAAATTATTCTGATTAAATTTTTCCGTGTGACCGTCAAGGTGTGGCAATTCTCTCGGCTTTCAACACCATTGGTAGAAACAAAAAATTAAGGTGGAACAGATTGGATCACTAAAGAGTGGAAATTGAATAAGCCTCATAAACTTAAAGTATCAACGAAATGCATCTCTGTTGTCAGAGTAAATCAGCAAAACTTTCCAGATTTTGGAGAAACAAAAGTTACATGCTGCTGTAATGACAGGACAGCAAGAAGGAATGTAATGTCTTGTCACAGTGGAAAAAGAAAAAGAGAACTTGTTCCACAATCATAATCATTCTCACAACACTGATTTTTCTATGACAGAATACTCTAATAGAGCATATAACTCGATTTTTTTTTTAATCGGTTTCAGATAAATCTTAAGGTTGTATTAGAAGATTGGGAAAGGACTTTATCTGAAGAAAAACAATTACCTGTTGCTCTTGACAGCAGTGCCAGTGTCATTCAGCTTTTGCTCTGCTGCAAATAGGGCAGCCATAGTCTTATCAGACACATGTAGCTTTTGATCTACAGATTTCACTTTTTCATTGACAATAGAGATTCCAACTGTTATTTTCTCTGAAAGGCCGACCCGCTTATCAAAAGAAACAACCTTTGCGGATGCATTAGCCCTTAGTTGATGCTTCTCGTCAAATGCTTTAGCTTTGTTAATAGCATCTTGTCTGAGTGCTGAACCTTTAGCTAGCATGCTCGAGACAACATCATGAGCTTTACTAACATAGACCCGTCCACTGTTAGGACTATTTTTACCCTATATGGATACAACCAAACACTTGTTCAGACCACTAAAACATTACACATAAGATGAGTTGAGATATAAGCACATCAGGTCTTGAGTAAAAAATTATACTGGAGTTTATAGACACCTCAACATATGTCACATTGTTTCCAAAAGGAGTTGTAAATTCTGCCTCATTTGCCTCAACTTGCTGCATGAATCGCAATTAACATGTGAATAACTATAGCAATAACTAAAATGTCTAAACAAAAAAGAATTCAGTTTTACCTCAACCATAGGAACATAATTTTCAACAGGAGCTATGCTCACAATTCGGTCTACAATAGTTGCTCCCTGTCAAATGCACAAAAAGAGAGTTGAACTATTATCTAAAAGAAAATAATTAAGGCTAATACACTTCCAACTATTAATTGAGTAGCTATTCATAACTGTCACTAATTATGTTGAATGAATCAGGGCATCCACTGTGTAGATATCCATCTAGAATTACACTTAATAATCCTTTAAAGTTCTAGTATAATTAGTTTAAATTATTACAAAATCAGGCTGACTGACAAAAGAAGAGTTGCAAGTAATATTTCAAGAATAAATCCTGAGAAAAATGCAGACAGCCAATTTCTCTGCACTAAAAATCCACTTTTGTATAGAGGATACCTAGCAGTGATCCAGAACATCATCAGCTAATTTCTGCTTAATTCAGCGATGCATTTCCCAAATGCCCCTTCTAACCATGCATGAGCTATGAAGTAAAACATTGAAAAGCTTCTGACATGGGAATTCTCATTTGGTTAGAAGGTGCATTTAGGAAATGACAATAATGATCTAATGTTAACAGTTTCTGCCATGTATATTTTCATGGCAAGGTTGTTCCTTCGTGGCACAATGATCGGGGTTTGAATCACAGTCTTTGCTTGCAAGAGTAAGGCTATTTTGATCCCTCCAAAACCTCACTGGTGGGAACCTTATGCATCGGGCTGCCCATAGTCACCTTTAAACACCAAACGGTAGATTCTTAAATAAATTTAATCATTTCTTTATAAATAAGGTAACAACTTGATAAGCATAATTTTTCTACAATGGAGGGAAAATTTCTGTTTTATCAAGATAATCTTCTATGAGAAATCTTGAATGATTAGATCTCAAACTACAAATTACATCAACTAAATCCAATTAAAATAAATCTTTTAATGAAACCTATGTTTTATTCTAATTTAGAATTGCTTAATTATCATCTAGAGTATCAAGTCTGTGAGGTTTCATTAAGAATTTCTCAAGGAGTAATTCAGATAAATAAATGTTGTCAGAAACCATTATTGTTCCCATCAAATTTCTCACCCAGTTTTCCAAGGAAGCCAAAGTTATATAAGTTACAAAAGATGCTTATGAAACATCTCTTGGAACATGCAGAATAGGTCATCTTCAAAATCTTCGGGATGATTTGTAGATGGCCAGCAAACTCTATTTGGTTTCCTTGTATAAAAGTCACAAGCTTTAGAAAAGCTTGATCTGATTCATTAATATCATGAAATCATAGAAGGCTTATTAAATCCATACATCAGCAACAAAAAAAACTGCTGCAATACCAAAGGACACCACTGATTGGAAGACATAAAAATACTCGATCAAGAATGCTTATGGTTAGGGCTGGTAAGTATTTTTAGGAGTCCTAATTGTATTCGAATTAGTTGAAAGAGTCCTAGTTAAATTGAAACTCCTTAGTGAATTAAGCCTTGTTTCTATAAATATGTATTGCGTCTCAAGGTTTTGATGGGTGGGAGAGGCAAGACATTTTGGGTGCTCCTGAGAGTGATCTCCAAGGTTTCTAGAAAGGTTTGAAGAGAAAAATTCTTCAACTTTATGTGAGAGGTATACGAGGGAAATCGTACTTAAGTGGAGATAATTCAAGGGCCTTGTAATTGATCTCATATATTAAAAATTTTGATTTTCTCTGTGGATGTAGGTAAGGATTTGCCGAACCACATTACAACTTGTGTTGGTTTTCTAGTACGTTCTCTGATTGTTATTCTTTGGGTGGATTTCTCTTTTGGTTTTGGTCTGTCTCCTCTCCCTCCCCAACACTTACATATCCTAAAGGCATTTTCTCGATCGAGACACATAAAAAATAAATAGAGAACCTACTCAAAGTCTCAATATCATCCACAAAAAATATCAAAGAAAACGAATGAATTAATTTGTCCACTTATAATTTTTCTTTTCTTTGGTGCAAATACTGCTACCAAATATATTGAACGAGTTCATACATTTATAAACAAATCTAGAATGATCGATACTACAAGAATGAGGATATGAGTTTGCCACTAAAGTGACATGGTGAAGCATCAGATTCTCCTATATATATTTACACCAACATTACCAATGTCTTTTCTGTTGAATGATATAATTTTTTTAAGAATGACCCGGCAACTAAAATATCTCAGTTACAAATATGTGTGAGCCATTGAATTCAGTCGCACAACAAGCAGTGAATTCACAACCCACTACTTACTCCAAAAATAAGTTCCTCTTCAAGCATCTGAATTGACAATATCAACAATAAAAATCATACCTAGACAGCAGCATACCCCGTTATAAGGTGGTCTGGAAATTTTGGAAGTATAAAACAACAAAACTTCCAGATATTTGAGGACGTCAATTACAAACACACAATCATTTTCCTTCTTCAGCTTCCCATACATTTAATTCAATTTCTAGCGAAGTTAAAATACTTAGTTAGAAATAAAGAGAAAGCAGATATACCGACAGCAATAGAGCGATCTCGAGCGCTTTTGGATCCTTAAATGTAACAAACGCAAGCCTCGGAGTACCAGCGTCGCTGCCAAATCAACAAACCTACTGTCAGAAAAAAATGGAACAAAAAACACTGCAAGAAGATGACAAGCTAATCCACAAATAGGATGAAACAATCAACAGAAAACCATCAAAAGATGACAGAAAGCATATCTCACCCTCGAATCTCGAGGTGCTCGATGTCGCCAGAAAAAGAGAAGAACTCCCGAATCTCCCTTTCTCCGGCCAGATCTGAGATATTCCCGACTTGAACCGTTCTCGTCTGGTATCAATTCACCATATATCCATAACGATTGACAAGGATTCCAAATAATAGCCAAAAGAAACACCAAAAAGAGCAAATTTTTGCGCTCGATTGCTCGTTCTTACCTCCATCTCCTCGTTACTGATCGAAAAGAATAATTTGTGGGCGCCTATTCTCCTCCTCTCTCTCTCTCTCTCTCTCTCTCATCGTCTCCACAAGAATGTTTTCTACTGGGGGGGAAGTAGGAACAAGTTAAATGGCTTTTGCGCCCTTCAAACTGAAGAAAATGTCGACAACGCCATTACACCTGAGATAAAGAACGCGATTGGAAGGGCAAGCCGGTTGTTACAGGGAATACTCAGGGGCAACTTGTAAAACTGGCGGCAGTACCTCCACTCTATTTGACTTCATCTTGGGAAGATTCAGTCCCTCCGATGGAAATCCAAGGGCGGTTGATGGAGTTATCTCGACCGGGGCCCGATCCAGCGATGAAGACGCGGTTTCCACGTCGGATTTGGTGATGGAGCCTTTGGGTCTGCACGTGGGCGCTCGAGTTGTATATTGTGGTCGACAGCTCACGCACCCACATCCTTCAGTCGTACGCTGACACTACATCGATGACCAAGGGACCCACATGAGAGCGTGGGGGCCAAAACAGGGACCCAGAATTGACGATCATGACCTCAGGATGCCGTTCGTGCACGAATCTAAATGTGTGTTTGGAGAGAGGAAAATTAAAAGGATTCTTCTTCCCGTACAGAATCTTTATGTGGGTTGTACGGCTGGATCATGTTTAATCAGAGAGCGAATTAGAGTAGTTGATCTAATTAGTAAGCGTCAGCATATGAATCTTCCATGTAATATTCTCTATGCCTCGTATTCCATTTAAACAAACTTTAACATCTGCAGTTGTCTTTCCTCTCTTGTTCATGCTGATCATGTTCGATATTAAGGTATAAGTGGATTCTCTAGTTTAGTTAACATGAGTTTAACTGAAAAGAAGTGAAGACCTCCATTTGGAGATCAAATCTTCTTTTCCATTTTTTTTTTCTCGAGAGCGAAGGAATTTAAGGATTTTGAGTGATTCTTTCTTTTATTTTCTAGCAGTCAAACGAAGGAAGAGAAGTTGACTTCTCTTTATTCGTGTAATATTATATATTTATATATTCATATTTATTCAGAATTGGAAACCCAGATATGTCGTCAAGCCCAAACATTGAGCTAAGTGCTGACAAGGTAAACACACGAGTCAAAATCGAACTCTTGTACTTTGATCGCATTGGTTGACTCGGTTAAAAAGGACAGTCTCCGATTCGGTTCAGCCATGGAAGTGGTAGTAGTAGTAGTAGTAGCATTTGCACCGGCTCATCTCCGCTTGCTCGCAGGACGCTCGTGGCCATGCTCCTGCTCCCTACCACCCCTTCCACGTGGCTCCCACTCCCGGTGGCGTCTCGACGTCGCCTCCCTTGCCGACGAGGACGAAGGCCTCCGCTTTAAGTGGTACTCTACCTCGTTCGATTCGTGGTCGTACCCACTGATCCCCCTTCTCTCCCCGCCCTTGAGCTCCTTCAGCCCGTTGCTCCTCTCGGGCGAGGAGGGCTTCCTCTTCTTGCTGCCCGCCTCGCCGGGGGCCGCGTAGCGGTCACTGGCAGCCGTCTTTGCGGGCCTTGGTGGCATAAGCCGGGCCGGGTCGCGGAACGGTCCACCGCAGTCCACGCTGCCTGACTTCTCAGACCAGCTCCGGTCCGACCACTGGGCCTGCGACATCAGCCTCTGCAGCAACAAAGTCACAGGTTATCTATCATAAGTCGTACAAATCTACCAGAAGATTGGGAGCACGCGAGACCCGAACTCGATTCTGCCGGGGCCCATGACCGTGGCACCAATCTTGGCGAGTATGGATTTAGAAACAGAGCTCCTATGAATGACGTCAAAAGCTTATGGCTTATGACGCGAACGACTCGATGCTAAGTACGGACCCAACACATGGTGCCTGACGATTCAATGTACACGCACCATGTCATACCTAAATTTTGCTGACACCAAGTCACTTGGGAGGCGGGTGGGTGGCATGAGAAAAGGACAGCGTGACCACTAAATTAAGGGAATTGGATGTGCACATTTTCCAATTTTAAGATATTTTAACATGAGGCAGAGTTAACAGGGACCTGTCCACAGGAGGTGAATGAGTTAGTAGGGGGCTTCCAGTACACAGTTAGGCCAACGCCTACGGAGTGCTCGACGACGGTTCTCACCGAAGCAAGAAAAAACAGGGTGCGGATTGATCCAGCACCATCGATATGAAATCGAATCAGAGGGGCCCGTATACAAGAAAAGCCACTCGCCAACCTTCACAATACCCTGCTTCTCCGAGGAGGATATATGGAAGCTCACCTGATACAACTAGTCCAAATTGCTGGATTCTTTGCCTATTTATTATGTCTAATGCAGCTACCATGATAAAGCCAAGAGTACGAAGATGAGCAAGAAAATGAACCGACGAAAGAGGACATACGGGCTGTGGCCTCATTGAAGCACCATTAGTGTTGCTCGATTCCCTTCTTGCTTTACCATCCTTGGAATGCCCCCTCTCCCTGCGTCCAGTTAACAGGGGTTCTCAGCAAATAAAGCTTACAAAAGCATATCCACATGCAAAAATAAACTTGCAATTCATTCTCCATAACCAAATATTCGTATAGTGCAAAGCAGGATCATGAAACAAGATAGATGATGGAACATTGAACATGGTAAAAATTGATGGAACATGATAAATAAAGTTAAATGATATAATTTAATAAATGGATCAAAACTACAAATGAAAAGAAGAATAGTAGCATAAGATAAACGTGAGTACAAATGGTCATGGTTGAACTACCACGACTAGTGGGTGATTGGTTGGATTTTTTTTTGCCACCCTTGTATGTAACATAGGCTTGCCGTGCAAGAGTCCACAGTTCGTATGACCAGTATTGCTATCAGAATAATCATCTAGAGACAATGATAAGGATTGGGACAATGACAGGGACAAGAACCTACAAAGAGAGACTACAATCCAACACAACAGCTGTTTACTATGTGCAAAATGATATGACAAACTGAGCTAAGACTTATATGGCCCAAAATCATTCTACATCCATAGCATAGTAATGATCTCTATTTCGTATTGTGTTTGGTGCATGTCGGTGTTGACAGATAAAACTATAGTAGCCAATTTCAAACTCAAAAAACAACAATCATGTGTTCATCATAAATGAGCATATGCTACAGTGAAGCACACTCGAGTTCCTGAAGTAGAATTTGTTAGGTTCATAGCTGCCGCAGCATATGAGACACAAGAAGCAATCAAATAAACAAGAAGCAATCAGATTCAAAGCAATGCAATTACCTTTCGTTAAGTCGCTCCATTTCATGCTTATGCCTTAGATCAGCCTTCCTAGCCTCAAACTCTTCTCTGCTCATACCTGAAGGCTCCTGATTCATGCCCATACTACCCATCCTTAACTCAGATAAATCCCTACAGAAGTATTTGACTTCGTCAACATATGCATTTATATGCGGCTAACTATAAAGTCACCCATTTTCTATCAGTTTTATCATATAATATGCATCCCATTCAAGGAACAAACTAAAAGAAAAGTACAAAAGAACAAACTCAAAAGACATGAAAAAAACAAAAAGTTCTACAAATCATGAATTATACTCAGTCTAAGCCATTCAGGGCATAAGAACTAAACATAATAGCTAAAACAGGTCAAAGCTGGTAAATGTTTTGTTAAGCTTCTAACTTTTTATGTGTGGCATACCTCGGAAGTACTGGCATCATATAACTTTGTGCAGCAAATGGATCTTGTGGAAAATTTCCCCCACCAAAAGGAACATCATAGGGCCCTGGTGTGTAACCCATATATGGCATTGGACCACCATAAGGTGCCATGTAGTTACCAACTCCTAATGGCATCCCACCAGTCCAGTAGGGATTATAGCCTGAAACAGCCAAAGGCATTCCATAATTTTCAGATCCAAGATCCTGGTAGGCCCTCCATTGCATATCAGCATCTGCAATTCAAAGAATGAGACAAGAGAAAGGCAAAAAAGACTCAGGATGATGTTTGAATTACTTACAACAATAAAGTAATCATCTGCATTAAATGTCAAACTATCAATCACAAACAACGAGAAAGTAATTTTCTGTATTGCGTGTCAAGATATCAATATGAAAAAACAAAGACCAGTAGTAGATAACTAGACTGAATGAATCCCAGGGAAACGAACCAACCATGGGCAACAAGACGTGCCTTTTTCTTCTTCTTTTTCTTTCCTGTAAAAAGAAAATCAACAAAAAAATATGGTATCAAGAAAAAGGTTGATAAAATAAAGAAAGCATCAAACTCTGACATAGACCGCTACATTTATTTGTACATGAATCATGGACCTATAACTTGAAAAAATAAACTTTTTCATTAACATAAACTCCTCTGTCAGAATCTCTAACATACATAGAAAGAGAGGAATTTAACCTTGTACGCCTTGGAAGAATATCCAGAAATCCGATATCTCAAAAAGAAGCACAACCTCCACACTCATCTGAACAAGCAATAAGTGGAATAAATGCGACATTACAAGCATATATTTATTACCTTGCTCTCCAGCAAGTTTCTTTTCTCGGATATCTCCAGGCATTGGAGGACTCTGATGAGACTTTGGCTCCTTGCTCAGAGATTCTGCTGTTGCTACACAAACATCTGTATTTATAACAACTTTCTTATCTGAAGAATTCATCTCACTGTTTCCAGCCTTTGTTTCACTTGCACCTTCACCTTCCTTCACACAGGAAAATTGCTTTGCAGTGAACTGATTAGGTTCGTCTTTGGACACAGCAGAAAGAGTAGGAGATGGGTCTTTGGGCTGTAAAGGATGAGACGACTCCATATCTGAAAGGGCCAATATGTTCTCATGTAAAAACAAAATCAAAGTTTGAAGCCAATGATTTTTTTTTTTCATACCTTGGAGCTGTACCATGCTTCCAGCATTTTCTGTACTACTAGTTGTTGATTCTAATATCCGACTGATTGTTTCTCTGAGTGTTTTGTTTGGAAGAAGGTCATCAGCCAATATATTTGTGGCCCCGCAAACACACATCAACTTTGTAATGATATAGTCCCTAATGCCTGACAGTAGAATAAAGAAGCAGCTTGTTCAAATGCTGTGGGGGATGACAAATTAGGTGCAAGAGAAGAAAAAACAACTTAATGAAATTGGATTATCCTATCATTTGTTATTATAGCTTTTCTTTCATAGCAAAATTGCTTACACTAAACACTAAACAACTATGATTGACTAATACGTCTCCAACAACTCACAAGAACTTCACATGCAAGGATATGAGACTTACATTTGTCACAGAAGCTCCTGAAACAGCACTTGCTAGTCAGAACAGCATCCTTCATCACCTCTTTACACAATGGGCAACGCAATTCCGGTGGAAGGTCACTGACAGGACGAGTGGTAGGTAGCCCCTCAATTTCTTTCTCAAATGCAGCCCTACATATAGAAGGAAAGATCATAAGAGTACTCTACAATATATGTCGATAACAGCAACTGCAACAAGAAGTTAGTGGTTCATACTCATTTGGCCTTAAAACAGCAACTGCACCACTTGGCAATGCATAGGAGCCATCAGGAGTTGTCATTAACATTGATTTTGGAATTCCAGTCGGAGGTTTCACTCTTTTCATGTCATAGTTAGGATCTCCATTTGTGGGGCAGTGCTGGATAAAGTGACCTAAACAAGAATATTCACCAGATAAACTATGGCTGTTTTTTAAAGAAAATGCAACAGACAATTAATCATAAACAAAATTTTATGAGACAACAAGTTTCTGGTGTACCAGGCACTTTGCATCTGTGACAAACATAACCTGCTGGGGGTGTCTTGCGTTCAAGAATACTTCGCCCTTCATTTTGTCAAAAACAAATAAAATATAAGCTATAATTTAACATATGACAAGCATGATAAACTATTATCTTCTCTGTTGCATAACAATGTGATATGTCAGAGACAAGCAAGTAGAGTGTTTGGCTCATAACAGTTTGCATCCTCAATGCTAAAACACATGCATTTTCAACCAAAATTACTTCCAAGGTAATTAAATGAAATGACAAGTCAAGCATTACCATCACTACGACCACCAAACATTCTGCCAGCGGTTCCTCTTCCAAAAGCTCTTCCTTCTTGTGTTCGACTGCAAAAAACATTCAACAAAATTTAAGCACCCGCTCATAGGATACTCGTTCTTTGAGGACAAAAAACATGTAACTCAAACTTTATTCATTTCTGTCCTACGGAATGTTGTTTTTTTGTTCCATAATTACTGCAAAGCAAAAAATATATAGAAGCTCCAATGAATGTGCCTTACCGATTCCAGTCGAGAGCAGGTGTGTCAATTAAAGCCTTAATTTTGCTATCCTCATCAACCTTGTTAGCAGGAGAAACATCTATCACAGGGTTACTTGTCTGAGGAGCATTAACTTCAGGAATGACATATAGGTCATTTCCAAACTCATCCCATTCGTATTCTTGAGGCTACAAAAATCCAATGCAAGTACCATTATCTACTAATCATGCCAAAACTGACCCTCCCACCAACTATGTGAAACAATAGCTATTGGTTGTTGGCACTACACCAAAAAGAAGGAATGCAGTACCCTCATAGATCCACAGGTGCAATGACATTCAGAAGTAGTCAAGCTTACATATGTGATGGTAGATGAATCATCAACCAACATGCTGCTAGATGGTGGAAGGCCTTCTACCTTATCCTCTAGAAATCTCTGCCTGCAGATCAAGACACATTTTCCATCTCAAATTCATATGAAAGATGCCTGCTGCTGTCTTCGAGACTTGATGTAAAGCTTGATCCAGAGAAACTAAACTTTCTACTGTTATTACCAGGTCATGAATAAAATAAACATTAACGTAAGATACTATCAAATGTTCAACATTCAAGGTCCAAGACAGTACTCGTCTCTCTCAGTGATAATAGGCTTTCGTGGTCGTCCAGGGACTCGACGAATCAAAACTGATGTGTTTTTGGGTATCATAGCTCCTTCATCTTCATATTCTGAAATTAAAAAGGCAAAGAACAAAAAGTTTATAAAAATTTAAGGAAATGATTTAGACTGCATGCACCAAGAAAAGTAACCTAAGAAAATTTATACATTATAATTGAACAGAACTAGGCACAGATCCTCAGACCATTCACCCTTTGTCGAAAGCAAAACTAACTATTTTGCTACTGTATTACATATTATTTATGAATGTACCAAAAATACTGGTAAAACATATTATAACAGAATGTATTCTAAAGAAAGAACAAACCTTCATTAGTCTGTGCATTAGAGATCATGAGGTCGAAATCCGTACCCTTCCCAAATAGCTTGGATTCAAAGATTCTTTCTTTCAAATTGACAACAGATATAAATTGCCCCTCAATGAGAACAGAATCATAATCTTTGGCACTTTTAAACTTATAATACACAGCCATTATTCTCTTCTCCCTCTCGGTTTCTCCGTTCCAATTTCAAGCAAAATAAACCACAAAGAACAAAACCTTTGCCCTACAAATGAGCTGGAAAGTGAATTAAAGCCAAAAAAATGAAGGCAGCTCCGCCATTACGCTAGAACAACAGATAACATGGACATGTAAACAGATATTTATCTCCTCCCTCCGATCATGAATCGGGATACCAATTCACCGAGTGCGAACAGGAAAAATATCAAAAAGAACTTCAGGACAATTTTTCTCCCGGTAAATCGGATGTAGAAACGATCGGATCAGCAACAATCGACGATCCGAAGCAATAAGTCGCGAGCAACTCAAAATTGTGGCCACCAAGACGCAGATATCACCGTCCGCCGCAAGGAGATGATCTCCGTCAAACAATAACTCTCTTCACCGAAAAAGGGATTACCGCTCACCAAAATTTCGTCACGGCGGGAGGCCCTCCTCGAACAGATCGGACCAAAACAGGAAGAAGCCGTGGTCGACAGAAAACAAACCAAAGGCAATCACTGTGGATATTAATTGCCACAGACCAAGCAAGCGGCGAGGTGTTGCACGGGTTCGACGCTCGGCACTCTATGGAGATGGATAAGCGCTTGATTTAGGGTTTCAGGGTGAAGTTAAATTTAAGGGTCGCAAATGGAAGGGAGACGGTGGCGAAATTGCTTCTACGTGGCACGAGTGGCACACCAACGCCCCACCCGCGTTTTGTACTTACCGTGGCTCAGGTTCGTTGGGGCCCATTGGAAGAGAGTGGAACGTGAAACTGGGACTCGCCAGCGGGGTCCAGTGCAAGAGGAATTCTTGCGACTCACCGGCTCGCTATGTCGCTGTGGAATCAGCAACCAGGTAAAGGACGTCTTCCCATTGGTAAGGGCGTCTGGGACCCACAGTTGACTCGTCAGATTGGTTCTGAGCCGAGCTCGAGTCAGACCGTAATAAATTTAGCCAAATCGAATTATCCAACTCGATTTGACTTAAGATTTTGAGAAATGCATTTATAAGAAATTAGTCAAAATGCGGACGCCGTTTCTCCCATAATTATATCTGATTGGATATCGATCCGACCAAATCTCGATTCATTAATAAATTGGATCGAGCAATTAAATAGTCGATTTAATTCCAAGTCTTTAAAAATACATCGTACCTGCATATTATACATAAGAAATATAAAATGTTATTTTATGGTAAAAATATTTTAAATAATTTAGTGCCTAATAACAAATCAAATGCTTTCAAGAATGTAGCCCTGTCCATGAATCTAGTATCGTCGTTTTTAGATCCGAAACCATGATTCCGATTTGAATCATAAAAAAAATATTTTTAAAATATGATAATCTTTTTTAAAAAAATTATATTTAAAAATTCTCAAATAATATCTTATCTTTTAAAAAATTTCATAAAGTATTTTTTTACGATGATATTATTCTTATCGATTTACCCAACACTATTGTCCTTACTGAACCCCATAAATAACCATTTATCCCTGTCTTCCTAACTCTCTTCGCTTTCTCATCAACCTCACATATGCCTCCACGATCGCAACTCCCTCCTTCCTTGCCCATTGTCTCTTATATCTAACGACGGAGGTGCGAGGCGAATGAGCCACGAGCAAGAATGGCAAAGGCAAAATTTTCATTGCTAGTCACATTCACATGCAACCACACTTGCCCCACAAGTGATAGATGACAGGTGATCAGATAGTTGGTAAGACAGGGGTACAATTAGGCGTGCAAACTAGCTCACATGTAAATGCGTAGATAACTAAAGACTTGCATCTACTTGTTGCCCCCATACTCATCGTCATCGTCCTTGGGAAATAGGAGGAGAGATATGATGTGGGCGACAAGCGATCTAGCATAGACATAAATAAAATGATATGTTTACGGGATGCTCTAAGAGGATTTTTCAAAGATAAAATTTTTCTTAAAAAAAATACTCTTAAGAAATAAAAATATTATATTTAAAAAAATATAAAAAAATAGATGTATAGCTATATTGAGTTTAATAACATAAAAAAATTAATATAAAAACTATTAAAAATAAAATAAATTAAATGACATTATCAAGATTTGAATATAAGTTTATTGGATTCAAAACTAACAATTTAACCACTATAAGTCCTCTATGCGTTGTATATTTTTATTTTTATTATAATTAATTAGTTTAAAATCGGTTTCAATTGGGCGATTCGGTTTCAACCCGATTTAATGCAAATACAATACTGATTTAGTTTTGATTTTAGATCGATTTGATTCCTTTTCAAATCGAACCGTGTAGAAGGCGATACCAACATCAACTTCTCTCCCTTTATTATTGCTTTCATATTTTATCTCTTTAGTTATTATTTCTTTGAGAATTATCATCATAAACCACAGTTGCAAAATCAACCTTCCACTCCATGAACAAATACAATCACACAACTTCTCCCATTCCATCAGAAGATTTAATCCAAAATGTGGACAAAAGTGATTTTTCATCTTTATGGTCATCGTTTGGTGAAGGATGAACACCACAAACTGATCCGCCACACACGCGGCAGTAGATCATTTGTTGCTACCAACAAAATCCAAGGCAGAGGAATCATGTGGAACAGGATCTATCCATCGAATAAGTATGGTATGGTAGGTTGTGGAAGTATCCATCACCCACAGCCAAAGGATCTGCGCAATCTTGAACCGAGAACCCTAATCAGTCATCAGCAAATCCCTGTGATGGCTCCAGAGGTGCGTTTGCTTCTCTGACATCTCGCATCTGTTGTTCATGCTCTCTCTCTCTCTCTCTCTAAGACTTGCAATCTGAATCCTGAGCTAGTTTTGCTGATTGTTATTGTATATGGTTAGGCTTGGCTGATAGATGAGAGTGATGAGGACCAGAGGCTCCCTCACCACAGGAACCCTAAGGAGTTTGTATCCCTGAGCAAGCTTCAAGGTGCCAATCTGATATCTTTTCTCTTGAAGGCTTCTGCTTTTTTGTTCTTTTTTTTTATCCCAACATTCTAAGCATCAGTAACCATGAAGTGGAATTGGTCAATGATTATGTTTCTTGGAAATACCATGAGCGATTAGTAGTTTTTTTCCCTGATCATTAACGCATGCTTAATTTTCCTGTTTGAGCTTAGTTCCTTGTGTGTGAGATGCTATAGTTTTAGGTTTTTGGCTTCTGAAATGACTGATGGAAGTCTCCAGGCAGAATTGATCTATGGAAGGCAGTTGCATACCCCCATAGATAGGGAAGTATGATTTAGGGGGACTTGAGTTGCAGACTGGGGTTTGAGGAGAGGAACATTATTATGTGTGGAATAAGGGGATAGATCTTATTGTTAAACATGAATATACTTTTTGGATCTGTCATTCTAGCGATGTCCTAATATACATTATTGTTCGTCTGAATCTAGGTTTAAATCGACGAGGTTGGGTACCGGTGTGAACCTGTATAAACCGATGCTTTTTACCTTAAGCACAACAAATGTGATTCTGTTTCCCATAAATTAGTAGTTATAATCCAAAGGCTTTGATAGGCCCTGCTCCTTTCTTCTGGAAATGGTCAGAGACATCAGCATGATGCCTGCCCTGGGTAATTGATATGATGGATATCGATGCATCTTTGCTGGCATTCGAGGGGTTGCCAATTGGATTGAGAAACTTCTGCAAGAACTGTATACTCTTACTAAAGCTTCTGAGTACCAATTTTGAATCGATCATCATGTGAGATGGTTTAAAAGATGCTTGTGGTATAGCAAAATTTTAAAATGAAGCTAATTAATCAGTAATTCGGCTGATCATGCTCCCTAGTCTTGTGCATCATATATAACAGAATTAAGAGGAAAATAGGATGACCGAAAGGTTTTACAGGAGCAAATGGTAAGTCAATAAATGAGAAGCACACCTAAGACCAAGTGCAGTTCCTTAAGGACGAAAGAGAACAAAACAAGGCAGCATAAAGTACCTTTTCCCCTCATTTTCTGTGTGTGTGTGTGTGTGCATGTGCTCACGTGTGCGCTGCACCATGTGTGATAGAGGTATAAGGTTAATGTAACATGAATGCTGCTGTTGTTCTCTTCGATCATGATGTAAAGTTAAACCTGGCAACAATTTTATAACGAATACTATACTTGAAAATTTTGATAGCTTGGAAAGCTAAGGATACAATGCAACTTCCAATTAGCTGCATGCAGTTAGTTATTCAGAACCACTTGAAATAGGACTCTGGACTTTCTTGACTACTTAGTAGACTTTTCTTGAGGGATGACTAATGATCCTAAGTTATTTATAGGTAGACATTCAAGGAACTTGGTAGTCACTGATTCCAAATCCTACCTTTATATCATACTTTTACTGGTATGATTCCATTATACATATTGTCTCGAACCAACAAGTTGGAAATTTTATTTCCCACATAATTATTGTCTTATGGGTGGTTGATCCACACAGTATTGTCGTTTGATTAATGTTTTTTTTTTGCTATACAATTTAGACTACTCATGTGCTATACATGGATAGCAATATTTTGTACTGCGAACAATGTTTTATTTTGTACAGGCAAGTGGACCAAAAGTAACTTTTCCCCTCTTGTTCATGATAGACTATCTGTGATTTTGAGTAGTATATGAATATTTGATGAAACAACTGTTTCTCTCTGTTATTGCAGAAATTGGGGTTCTTTACTGGCATTTGGATCCCAAAAACTATGAGAGCAGTGAAGAATTGAAGAAAATTCGGGAAGACAGAGGATACAACTACATGGTATGCATCTCTCTCTCTCTCAGATGTGCCTGGGCACAGACATCCAGTCACACATCATGCTAGTGTGACCAGAGAACAACCAGCATGTAACCAGTGCAATTTATTTTGACAATCTTTACCATCTTGACATTGCAGGACCTTCTTGAGTTATGTCCTGGAAAAGTTGAGAACTATGAAGAGAAGTTGAAGAACTTCTATAGAGAACACATCCATGCCGATGAAGAGATCCGCTATTGTTTGGAGGGCAGTGGGTATTTTGATGTTCGTGACAAAGACGACACCTGGATAAGGATTTGGATCAAAGAGGGCGACATGATTGTCTTACCAGCTGGAATCTATCATCGGTTCACATTAGACACTTCAAACTATGTGAAGGTATGTAAAATAATAAAAAAGTTTAACATACATAGCTAGCCGATGTGAATGTACTCAGTTTATCTTTTTTCCTCTATTTTTCTCTTTCTTGTTTGGCAATGAAAATAAAATTGAAGATAAAGATGTGGGAGAAAATATATGCCAAAACTTTCTTCAAAGGGGTCTAGATTTATCTTTCTCGAGACAGAACAGTTTTAAGAGGAGATGACAAAAGGCCATTTACAAACTATACCTAACAACTTCATAAATTTCTTTGAGTTGCTCTTCCAAAAACAATAATGATTTTCTTTTCATTTCTTTAATTTCACTGCAACCGAACAAGAATGTATGTTGTGTAATGTTTGCCTTAGCCTCATAGCTTTTCCAAAAAGACCTTAATGTGTGTTCATTCTCAAGGTTCTACTCCAGTAATTTATTTTATTTTTATGAATGCACCAGTTCTGAATTGAATCGTTCGTCTTATTTCTGCTTCTAATCCACATAGCTTTTTTCATATATGCTTTGCGGTGCATATGCAGCTGATGAGATTGTTCATTGGAGAACCTGTTTGGGCAGCTTACAACCGCCCTCAGGAGGACCATCCAGCCAGGCAAGTCTATATCAAGACATTGGAGAGCTCTGGAGTTGCTGTGAAGGCTCATTAAGGTGTAACTTACTTTTCAACTTGATTACCTATGGAATTGCCATGGTATAGGATCTTAAAATCGGTGTGTTATAACCTATTTGTATTTTGGTGACTGATATATGTATTCCTGAAACTACTTATGCATAAGGAGAATAAGGTAACCGGGACGGTGCCCAATACATGTAATTTTTGTTGACAACTTAGAATGTAATTTTGGAATATTCGATGCAGTGAAAGTAAAGTTAAAAAAGAAAAAAATCTATGCCCAGTTACCTGCTTAGATGCTAAATCCTTCATGTTCTAATTATCTATATAGTCTTTAAGAACTTCTCTACTTATGAAGTTCGTGCTGCCTCGCTGATATTGGTTACTTTTAATTGATAAGTACCAAAGATTAGAGGTCAGGGTACTTATCAACTGCCAAACAAATGGCATCAATTAAAATTCTGTTCTCTTTTCTGTGAACAGATTGAAATTTCTTATCAACTCTCCTTAATCTTCCACTAGTGGACTAGACAACATGATGTTAGTAAAGGTGTTTGAGTCTAGAAGGCAGCAGTCACTGGTAAAAGCATGATGCCTTGCTTTTGCCTCCCTTGGCTCTGACCAACTGATGGCAAAGCCAATATCTTCTAATTTCTAATTATGACTGATGAACTTAAGAGAGTGTGCAATCATGGTTTATGGAAATCACAGTCACAAAAGCAGAACCATTTGGCTTTGGAAGTCAAAAAGCAAAAGCAGAGCTTATGCAGAGGCCAAGTGGAAAATAGTCAAATGAGTGAGCATCAAATCTTCCCAAGAATGCACTGCAAACTTCTCAGCTTACCATCCATTACTTTCTGCAATCCACCAGTTGGGTCCACAAACAAGGATGGAGCAAGATTGAACAAGACAAAAATAAATAAATAATAAAGGGTATTAAGTTAAAATGTATGAGATATCAAAAAACTAAATTGGTAAATCAAGGAAATATTTGGGGCCCCCAGCCTTCCACCTAGACTTGTCCCCTTGAACAAAATGAAATCACTACAATGTAACAACTGATGAGAAAGGAGTCCAAAAGGTTTTGATGGTTCTTGAGAGAGGTAGCAATGAGCAATGTGATTGCTCTTAGGTTTGCTGATGAGCTTTGACATCAAATAAGTGGAAACTGTACTCAAGTGTTGCTTTGAAGTTGATGCATATTCACTGACCTAAGAGTGTGCTGATGATGGAGACTGATCACACAATTCTTTATGGGGAAATGTTGATGAATGCCCTCATTAGGCAAGACATGATTGTGTCAGCACCAAGTTCACATTACAAAATAATTATTATTAGATCTACAGCACCTTTAGATGATTCTTCCTCTTAACCAATTGCAGCACCCAATCACTCCCACTTCTCATATCTCTTATATATTTCTGGCCTCTTCTCTCTAAACCTTGTGATACCTGTTGGTCTTCTTTTCCTTTCTCTTCCTTCACTGTACCTCCATGGGGATACCAGTTGATACTCCCTCCCTTTTGCTTCTTCTCTTACTTCAGCATACTGTTCTATTGGGTACATCTGATGTATGCAACTCCATGCATGTGCACCAAAAGTAGCTGAAGCTGCCAGCATGATCTGATCACAGGATAGCAATCAGATCATGCTAGTAGTTCCATCTGCTGTTGGGGGCACAATAAATCCCTGCAATCCAATCTCCATCTGCTCATCAGGGTGCCATCAAGATGCTCATGAAGACATCAAAAGGTTCAGTGTTTTTGACATCTGAAACATCTAAACACCCTAGTTTAACATCTCCTGCTGTTTTCCTTTTGTTTTCATCTGATGTGTGATATGATGAGAGGAGCAGTATAACTAAGAGGGAGAAGAAAGCTACTAATATGATTTTGAGTTGAAGGAACACCTTGACCTTGAAATTAAGCTCGACATCCCTTCTCGGTGGGTTCCTTCCTGTAATCTCCTCTGATTGTGACCTCAATCTTTGGTTCCTTAAATATGTTCTATGATCGAATGTTTTCAGAGAAGTAGCAGCTCATTTGTGGTACTGCTCACAACTTGTCATATGGTCTTGAGCTGAAAGAGAAGTTTCCTTCCTCCTATCAACTTATGAGGTTGTACATGAATCGATGCCGATGTACATGCGAATCTTAGCTGTAGCAGATAGAGACATTCATGATTCATCATGCAGCCTTTAGTTCTACCGCTTCAAAATCATTCCTAAAGATTCCGAATTGAAGATGTACTTGGTAGCATACTGTAGAATCTTCACTCATATTTATAGTCGCATTTGTTTCGATTCAACCATGTAAATCTTTACTGTTTGTGTGTGAAGTAAGTATGCTAAAGGAAAGGTATGGAGATTACTTCAAATGCATTACCAGAAATGTTAGCAAATTATCTGGATCAGTTCTACTTGTGATGCATGCAGTTCATGTTGGTGAAAGGAGACATGAGAGGAGAAGGTATCCAAGTTAATCCTGATTAGGAGATATGACTTTATGAGTACTGAAAGCAACAAATTTTGCAGTGTTCCATCTATGATAATGTTTGAGGACAAGAGAATCCTCTTTTTTGACTTTGGCTGTCACTCTCCAGTCTTTGGTTTGCTTGTGTCTTCAGAAGAAGTCTCTTCAGCTTCAAAGCCTTCAACCACAAGAGACCTCCAAATCCTTCCCCTCTCATCATCACAGTATTCTTTGTCTCATGCATTCTACCATTCAAATGTATCAGTTGCACACTGATTTCCTGATTCTTCTATAACAATTCTTGCAGTAAAAGATGTAGATCTTGAGGCAGCATTACATGCACCTGAAGCAGTAGGTCAGCTCTGTCCACTCTGTAGCAGATCAATCACTTTTTCAGCAGTTCTATCAAAAGCAATGCAGTAATCAAATGCCAGAGGAAAGTTCTGCAACCACTGTGGAGTCAGGTAGATTATTGGTTTGTGTCTGATAAAAAAATGTCCATTGTTGAGCAATATATGTTCATAAGTCATAACAGATATTGGTGGTAGTCTTTTTCAAGCTGCACTTTACCTAATCTCCAAGCAATGGACAACCATTATTATGTCAGGCAGGACCAAATCAAAAGCTTTCATCAATGAAGGGACCATCTTGTGTCTTGGTGAGAATGGGGTTCTAGACTTCCTCCCTACTCCTATTAGAAGATATGTATAGGAACTAAATCTGTCAAGCATCAGGGTTGAATCAATATGATCTAAGAATAAACTCTTCTTAGCTCCAAGGTATAGGATCATCAAACTATGGGTAACAAGAGTGAGTTAAATTGAGTACTAGTCCTTGCATATATTTGTTGTCATCTTGGTCATCTAGATGCACCTGTAGATAGATATTATGAATTATATTAAGAATGTTTCTTCCCTCGATTGATGAATTCAACATCAGCTGAAATTAATCTCATTAATCCACTGGATATTTGTTGTGTGACAAAATTTCTCAGGTGATACATGCAAAATCTGTATATAAAAAGAAGACCAATGTCAACTCATATACACATTAGGAATTTACAATAAAATAATAAATAAATCAAGTTGGGTTATAACACCCAATCAATCAGCAGAGAAGAAAAAAAATTGAATGAAGGAATTAAATGGACCTATAATTGATTCCTATATACCAGATTTAGGGTGAGCTAAGAGCCGGAGAAGAGGGGTGTTGGAAACTGGAATGCACTTGACAAGCCAACCAATTGGCCATGACACAGCTGCAATACCAACACAAATCCCCCACTGTTCCCAGTCCAACCTTACTGTGCCTGCAAACTCCCTCAAGAACTCCACCATCATCACCTGCAAGAACACAGTGACTGCCACAATCCCCAAGAAGAGCTTATTGGTGCGCATCCCCTCGAACACGTTCTTCTTCTCCAGCTTCCTGGCGTTGAACTCATTGAAGACTTGGCAGAGAACGAAGGTGTTGAAGATTAAGGTGTTGTTCACCTCTTCGCTCACTCCAAATATGGACTGCCCTCTGAACTGGAGCACCAGCAGAACTGCAACCTGAAACATGGCCTGCGCTGTGAGGTTTCTCCACATGATGTTGGTGATTAGTGGCTCCGTCCGGCCCACTGGGGGCTTCTTCATCAGCTCCTTGGTGGGCCGATCGGTAGCTAAAGCCAGAGCGCCCATGGTGTCCATGATCAGGTTCACCCACAGGAGCTGCACCGTCGTCAATGGAACCTCGCCGGTGCTAATGGCGGAGACGAAGTTTATGACCAGTGCGGCGATGTTCACTGTGAGCTGAAACTGCAGGAACTTCTGTATGTTATTGTAGACACACCTTCCCCATCTCATGACGGTCACGACGGTGTCGAAGTTGTCGTTGAGGATGACCACGTCGGAGCTCTCCTTCGCCACCTCGGTGCCTTGGATTCCCATGGAAAGTCCCACGTCGGCTTCCTTCAGTGCCGGCGCGTCGTTTGTGCCATCCCCGGTGACTGCCACGACGTGGCCCTTTGACTTCAAGCACTGCACCATTAGCAGCTTATCGAAGGGAGAAGACCTCGCCATGACTCGAATCTGATCGATCTTCTTCATTCGCTCCTCTGCTGAGTAGTTTCTGAACTCCGGCCCTTCGACCACCAATCCGTCGACGTCATCGTCTCTGAGTATGCCGCACTCGATGGCAATGGCTCTTGCTGTGAACACGTTGTCTCCTGTGATCATTTTGACGGCAACGCCGGCGCGTCTACAGGCGGCGATGGCTGATTCCACTTCAGGGCGACATGGGTCCTTCAAGCCAACGAAGCCCAGCAGAGTCAGTCCGTTGTCGTCGAGGTTTGGCGTCTCTTCTTGATCGACATGAAGATCCTCTGCATCGGTGATTTTATAGGCCAAGGCGATGCACCGAAGACTACGAGCGGCCATGTCTCTGATGACCTTCTCGAGCTTCGTTCTGGACTCGACGTCTACGTCCCGCACATTCCCGTTCCTGTCGAGGTAATGCGAGCATCGAATCAAGATCATCTCAGCAGCTCCTTTCCATTGTGTGATCATCGCTCTGCTATCCTTCTCTTCCACCAGAACTCCGCTCCGCTTCTTTTCCGAGTTGAAGGCCTCGACGTGAACTACGCTGTACCTCCTCTTCATCTCCTCCACGTCCATTCCGAGATCCAGAACTGCCCACCATAGAAGAGCCTTCTCCGTCGGGCTACCAGAGACTTCTGGCACTGCTACAGACGTTGGCCTGTAAACACTGCCTGTGGTGTTCAGCCCGACTCCCTGGTGAAACAGTGTGCGCACTCTTGGCGCGATTGAGGAGATGCTGCCGCCGTCTACCGGAACTTCTTCGTTGCCGATCCAAAACTTGGTGACAGTCATTTGATTCAGCGTCAGAGTGCCGGTCTTGTCGGTGCAGATGGTCGTCACCGAGCCCATCGTCTCGCAAGCCGACAGCCTCCGGACCATGGCGTTGTCCTTCATCATCCTCTTCATCGAGAAGGCCAGCGTCAGGGTCACCGCCAATGGCAAGCCCTCGGGGATCGCCACCACGATGATGGTTACTGCGTCTTGGAAAATACTCACGATGACGCTGATGACGTCGCCGGCGTCCACCTTGTTCTTGTTGAACCTGGGCTGCCCGTTCTCGTCCTTGGTGCTCCCGGTGAAGTAGCGGATCGCTAGCACGGCGAAGACCAGGACAGCCACGACAACGCCAATTTTGCCGATGCTCGACGTCAGCCTCTCGAGCCGCTCCTGGAGCGGCGTCGGCTCGGTCGTCTCGCGGGCGATGGTGCTCATCATCTCCCCCCACGCCGTGTCCGTGCCGACGGCGGTGATGATCATGGAGGCGTATCCGTCGATGACTTTGACGCCGGATGTAAGGAACGGGTTCTTAACGGCGTCGACGTCGACCGGATGGCTCTCGCCTGTCATGCTCGATTCGTCGATCTGCAGAGAATGCCCCTGGAGGAAGAGCCCGTCGCCCGGGACCTGGTCACCGATCTTCAAGAAGATCACGTCTCCGACCACGACGTCGAAGATGGAGATGTCTTGCCGGTGGCCGTCGCGGACGACGCTGACGCTGATGTCGTTGCACTGGGCGGACAGCTTGTCGAACCGCTTCATCTGGCGGAAGTTGCTGACGGCGGAGACGACGGAGACGAGGAAGATGGCGAGGAAGATGCTGGCGCCGTCGTACCATCCTTCCTTGAGGCCGTGCTCCTTGATGCCGAAAGCGAGCGAGACCGCGGCGCAGCCGATCAGGATGAGGAGGAACAAGTCGTTGAGCGCCTCGTACACGAACCAGAAGAACCCCTTGGGCTTCGTCTTGGGGTACGTGTTAGCGCCGAAGGCCTCCCTCCGCGCGTCCAGCTCGCCACCGCCGCCGGATATGCCGGCCTCCGCGTCGGAAGCCAGGCCCGCAGCGATGCCGTCGGCTCCGCCGAGGCGTTGCACTTCGTCAAGCCTGCGCTCCCTCACGAGGGACTTGAGGACGTCGGCGTCGACGATGGAGAAGGGTGGAGCAGGGGCCCTACATTCATCGTCATCGTCGTCCACGATCTCGAGGGAGACGTAGGATGGAGTACGGAGGGCGCCAGTGATGCGCTTCTTGGAGAGGGAGCACATGGCGCGGCAGGAGTAGATCATGGTGAACGCGATGCGCCATCGCTTCTGAGGTACCGAGGCGCGACGGTCGGACGCGATGAAGAAAGCGTATTCCATCAAACGAAGGTGTCGACCACAAGCAAAAGTCTGTAGCAGGATGGAGAAGGAAAGACGTGGGAGAGGAGAGGACGACTGATGGTAGCGACGATGATGAAGGCTTACTCCCCTTTTCTAACATATGTAAGCGGCAGCGAGAAGGAAGCGACGAAGGGGAGAGGAAGGAGACGGGTGGACGGTGAGAAGACCGCCGTTGCAGCCGCTAAACTTGCCGGTTAGTTTACGAAGATGGAACTGGTGGAAGTTGGGAGGCGAAGGAAGCGTTCGTCTTTAATAAGCCGAGTCGGTTGATGCGAAGAAAAGGACGAAGAAGGCGCGTACCAGCTAATAAAGGAGACATGTTTCGATGTCCCAAGCCGGCTTCGACGGTCGGCGCGACGTGGTTCGGTGTCTTACACGAACCGTGTTAAGAAATTGAGTCGGCGACGATCACATTTGCATTTATGACGGTCGTGCGGTGATGACTTCGTGCCACATCATATATATATATATATATATATATAACTCTTGTTAATACCCCTCCAATAAACTTCAATTAACTACTATTAAACATAATTATTATTAAATTATATTATAAGAAAAAGGATAGAAGAACAAGAGGATGAAAATGATGCATATAAGTGAAAACAAAAAAAGAAGACAATGATAATTAGGGAGATGTTCACCATGGAAAATAAATGATGGTGACATGAGCAAAACACCGTTAGGTGACATGAGCAAAACACCGTTAAGATATTAACGAATGAGAAGGATAAAAGGGAAGAGAAAGATAGAACGAAGAGAAGAGAGTCCTTAAAAACTATTTGATTTTCACATTTAACTCTTTACATATAAGTTTATTATACATATATAATTATGGTTAATCTCTCTCAATTAATAATGAATTGACATCTATATTCATTTAAAAAATAAAATAATCGATGAAAATAATAAAGGTATTGCGTATTAAAATTTCTAAACTTTTTAATGATTAGTACTACTAAATTATAGATATACATTTGCAGTCGCTATAATACCTAAAACGGATCTCTTTTTATTTATTCTAATAATATGCTTAACTTCTTCCGATATAAGGATGAAAAGAAATCATATCACCAAACCCTCTCAATTAGTCTCTTATTTCTTATCTTTCATATTTTAGTATATAATAATAAAACAATTAAATCTGCGGTACAATTTTTTAATCGGATCCATGTTTGATCCGACTCGCATCGATCCGATCCGATCCTTATATGAATGCTTCGTATATTGGTCGGCTTGGTCGGCTCTTTAGTCCCACATCGGCAACTCACGCAGCAAGGAGACGCACAAGCGGGTATAAAAGAAAGAGGAAGCATCCAGTTCAACTCATACCTTTCTCGGCCTTTTGGCTAAGATCAAGTGTAGTATCTGTTCTTATCAGTTTAATATCTGATACGTGGGTCATCGATCCACTATGATATTAAATTAATTTCTTGTGGGGGAGGTCCCACCACAGTGGCTTGCCACTGGGGGCCTCGCGCGTCGCCTGTGCGTTGCACTACAGCACTGGCCTGGCGCACCCCGACCAAACCAAATTCAAATTTGTTTCGTTGTTCCGATTGACATCTTAATTAAGATGTGAGTTATCTGGTTCAAATAAGATGATTGGTGTTTTTATGTTTGTATTTGTATTCAATATATTGAGAAATGAAGTTGTTATTTATAATGGTTGTATACTCATTTTGACCTAATAAATTCTTTCATATCTGATACGTAAAGGTGTTGAGTGAAAGAAAAAGGATGAAACAAATTATACGGACAACCCTAAAAAATTATATAAATACCTGAATTCTTTTAAAAATTTCATATTTATTGATGATTAGTGGCCCACTTAAGTTTATTTGATGGATGTCAAAGGAGTGGTATACATGAAATTTTGATTATTTAGGGATACATGCAATACTAATATTTGGAGGGACAAATATGCTATTTTTAATTTTTCAGAGGGCTAAATTTCATGGATGTAAATACTTTTACTTTATGATATATCCTAATTTCATTTATTTATTTTATATTAATATAATTTTTCTATGTTTTCTTGTAAATCTATAATTTTTGCATTACATAATTACAAATGCTATGTTGTACTCTTTTTTATTTATTATTTTAAATAATATCGGTTCTCATTGTATTTAATAATAAGAATATGATATATTTATAAAACTTAGAATAGACTTTCGATGAGTTTGATTCAATGACTAGACCATTTAAGTCTTAAAATATCTAAAACGATCTCAATTCTTTAATTTTATATTTTTTTATGAAATATTTAAGTTTATTATATGGATGAAAGAAAAATCTTAATATATTGACTATCATCAATTCCTCTCTTTGCGTTCTCTATCATTCTTTTATAATATATTGTCCATTGGTTAGTCTCTTTAGTCTCACATTGGTAACGTGCGCAATAGAAAAGAGCGAAACGAGTATAAAATAAGAGGGATCTTTTTCGTCCAAAGCATACTTTTCTCGGCCTTTTGGCTAAGATCAAGTGTAGTATCTGTTCTTATCAGTTTAATATCTAATATGTGGGTCATTGATCCACTATGATATTAAATTAATTTATTGTGGGGGAGGGCTCATCACATTGGCTTGCCATTGGGGACCTCCCGCGTAACCTGTGCGTCGCACTATAGCACTGACTTGGCGCACCCCGACCAAACCAAATTCAAATTTGTTTTGTTGTACTGATAGACCCTTAATTAAGATGTTAGTTTTCTGGTACAATTAAGACGATTGGTGTTTTTTTTATGTTTATATTTGTATTTAATATACTGAGGAATGAAGTGGTTATTTTATTGGTTGATTTTACTGATTGAAAGATACATAAAGTATGAAAGAAAAAGGATGTTGGAATAGATGTTGTGAAAGAAAAAGGATGAAACAAATTATACAGACAACCCTAAAATATTATATAAATACATGAATTCTTTTAAAAATTTCATATTTATTGATGATTAGTGGCCCACTTAAGTTTATTTGATGGATGTCAAAGGAGTGGTATACATGAAATTATGATTATTTAGGGATACATGCAATACCAATATTTGGAGTGACAAATATGCTATTTTTAATTTTTCAGAGGGCTAAATTTCATGGATGTAAATACTTTTACTTACTCTATGATATATCTCAATTTCATTTATTTATTTTATATTAATATAAATTTTCTATGTTTTCTTGTAAATCTATAATTTTTGTATTACATAATTACAAATGCTATGTTGTACTCATTTTTATTTATTATTTTAAATAATATCGGTTCTCATTGTATTTAATAATAATAATAGGATACATTTATAAAACTTAGAATAGACCTTCGATGAGTTTGATTCACTGACTAGACCATTTAAGTCTTAAAATATCCAAAACGATCTCAATTCTTTAATTTCATTTTTTTTTATGAAATATTTAAGTTTATTATATGGATGAAAGAAAAATCTTAATATATTGTCTACCATCAATTCCTCTCTCTATGCATTCTCTATCATTCCTTTATAATATTATGTAATTATTTTATGATATCATTCATTATATATATATAGTTATGGACTTATATGTCCGGTGTTTGGATCCATGTTATTCTATGCTGGTTGTGTCCATTGGTTGGTCTCTTTAGTTCCACATCGGTAACGTGCACAATAGAAAAGAGCGAAACGAGTATAAAATAAGAGGGATCTCTTTCATCCAAAGCATACCTTTCTCGGCCTTTTGGCTAAGATCAAATGAAGTATCTGTTCTTATCAGTTTAATATATGATACGTGGGTCATCGATCCACTATGATATTAAATTAATTTATTGTGGGGGATGGCCCATCACAGTGGCTTGCCATTGGGGACCTTGCGCGTCGCTTGTGCGTTGCACTACAGCACTGACCTGGCGCACCTTGATCAAACCAAATTTAAATTTGTTTCGTTGTACCGATTGACCCTTAATTAAGATGTTAGATATCTGGTACAATTGATGATTGGTGTTTTTTATGTTTATATTTGTATTCAATATATTGAGGAATGAAATGGTTATTTTATTAGTTGATTTTACTGATTGAAAGATACATAAAGTAAAAATCTTAATATGATATTAAATTAATTTATTGTGGGGGAGGGCCCATCACTTGCCATTGGGGACCTTGCACGTCGCTTGTGCGTTGCACTACGCACTAACCTGACACACCCTGATCAAATCAAATTTAAATTTGTTTCGTTGTACCGATTGATCTTTAATTAAGATGTTAGATATCTGGTACAATTGATGATACATAAAGTATGAAAGAAAATACTTTACTTTATGATATATCTCAATTTCATTTCTTTTTTTATATTTTATATAATTTTTCTATGTTTTCTTGTAAATCTATAGTTTTTGTTTACATAATTACAAATGCTATGTTGTACTCTTTTTTATTTATTATTTTGAATAATATCGGTTCGCATTGTATTTAATAATAAGAATAGGATATATTTATAAAACTTAGAATAGACCTTCGATGAGTTTGATTCACTGACCAGACCATTTAAGTCTTAAAATATCTAAAACGATCTCAATTCTTTAATTTCATATTTTTTATGAAATATTTAAGTTTATTATATGGATGAAAGAAAAATCTTAATATATTGGCTACCATCAATTCCTTTCTATGCATTCTCTATCATTCCTTTATAATATTATGTAATTATTTTATGATATCATTCATTATATATATATAGTTATGGACTTATATGTCCGGTGCTTGGATCCATGTTATGCTATGTTGGTTGTGTCCATTGGTTGGTCTCTTTAGTCCCACATCGGTAACGTGCGCAATAGAAAAGAGCGAAACAGGTATAAAATAAGAGGGATCTCTCTTGTTCAAAGCATACCTTTCTCGGCCTTTTGGCTAAGATCAAGTGTAGTATCTGTTCTTATCAGTTTAATATCTGATACGTGGGTCATCGATCCACTATGATATTAAATTAATTTATTGTGGGGGAGGGCCCATCATAGTGGCTTGCCATTGGGGACATCGCGTGTCGCTTGTGCGTTGCACTATAGCACTGACCTGGCGCACCCGGACCAAACCAAATTCAAATTTATTTCGTTGTACCGATTGACCCTTAATTAAGATGTTAGATATTTGGTACAATTGATGATTGGTGTTTTTTATGTTTATATTTTTATTCAGTATATTGAGGAATGAAGTGGTTATTTTATTTGTTGATTTTATTGATTGAAAGATACATAAAGTATGAAAGAAAATACTTTACTTTATGATATATCTCAATTTCATTTTTTTTTATATTTTATATAATTTTTCTATGTTTTCTTGTAAATCTATAATTTTTGTTTACATAATTACAAATGCTATGTTGTACTCTTTTTTATTTATTATTTTGAATAATATCGGTTCTCATTGTATTTAATAATAAGAATAAGATATATTTATAAAACTTAGAATAGACCTTCGATGAGTTTGATTTACTAACCAGACCATTTAAGTCTTAAAATATCTAAAATGATCTCAATTCTTTAATTTCATATTTTTTATGAAATATTTAAGTTTATTATATGGATGAAACAAAAATCTTAATATATTGACCGCCATCGATTCCTTTCTATTTTATTATATGGATGAAAGAAAAATCTTAATATATTGACTGCCATCGATTCCTTTCTATGCGTTCTCTATCATTCCTTTATAATATTTTATACATATATAGTTATGGACTTATATGTCCTGTGCTTGTTATGCTATGTTGGTTGTGTTAATTGGTTGGTCTCTTTAGTCCTACATCGATAACGTGCGCAATAGAAAGGAGCGAAACAGGTATAAAATAAGAGGGATCTCTCTCGTCCAAAGCATACCTTTCTCGGCCTTTTGGCTAAGATCAAGTGTAGTATCTGTTCTTATCAGTTTAATATCTGATACGTGGGTCATCGATCCACTATGATATTAAATTAATTTCTTGTGGGGGAGGGCCCATCATAGTGGCTTGCCATTGGGGACCTCGCGTGTCGCTTGTGCGTTGCACTATAGCACTGACCTGGCGCACCCGGACCAAACCAAATTCAAATTTATTTCGTTGTACCGATTGACCCTTAATTAAGATGTTAGATATCTGGTACAATTGATGATTGGTGTTTTTTATGTTTATATTTGTATTCAGTATATTGAGGAATGAAGTGATTATTTTATTTGTTGATTTTATTGATTGAAAGATACATAAAGTACGAAAGAAAATACTTTACTTTATGATATATCTCAATTTCATTTTTTTTATATTTTATATAATTTTTCTATGTTTTCTTGTAAATCTATAATTTTTGTTTACATAATTACAAATGCTATGTTGTACTCTTTTTTATTTATTATTTTGAATAATATCGGTTCTCATTGTATTTAATAATAAGAATATGATATATTTATAAAACTTAGAATAGACCTTCGATGAGTTTGATTTACTGACCAGACCATTTAAGTCTTAAAATATCTAAAATGATCTCAATTCTTTAATTTCATATTTTTTATGAAATATTTAAGTTTATTATATGGATGTGTCCATTGGTTGATCTCTTTAGTCCCACATCGATAACGTGCGCAATAGAAAGGAGCGAAACAGGTATAAAATAAGAGGGATCTCTTTCGTCCAAAGAATACCTTTCTCGGCCTTTTGGCTAAGATCAAGTGTAGTATCTGTTCTTATCAGTTTAATATCTGATATGTGGGTCATCGATCTACTATGATATTAAATTAATTTATTGTGGGGGAGGGCCCATCATAGTGGCTTGCCATTGGGGACCTCGCGCGTTGCTTGTGCGTTGCACTACAGCATTGACCTGGCGCACCCGGACCAAACCAAATTCAAATTTGTTTCGTTGTACCGATTGACCCTTAATTAAGATGTTAGATATTTGGTACAATTGATGATTGGTGTTTTTTATGTTTATATTTGTATTCAGTATATTGAGGAATGAAATGGTTATTTTATTTGTTGATTTTATTGATTGAAAGATACATAAAGTATGAAAGAAAATACTTTACTTTATGATATATCTCAATTTCATTTTTTTTTTATATTTTATATAATTTTTCTATGTTTTCTTGTAAATCTATAATTTTTGTTTACATAATTACAAATGCTATGTTGTACTCTTTTTTATTTATTATTTTGAATAATATCGGTTCGCATTGTATTTAATAATAAGAATAGGATATATTTATAAAACTTAGAATAGACTTTCGATGAGTTTGATTTACTAACCAGACCATTTAAGTCTTAAAATATCTAAAATGATCTCAATTCTTTAATTTCATATTTTTTATGAAATATTTAAGTTTATTATATGGATGAAACAAAAAATCTTAATATATTGACTGCCATCGATTCCTTTCTATTTTATTATATGGATGAAAGAAAAATCTTAATATATTGACTGCCATCGATTCCTTTCTATGCGTTCTCTATCATTCCTTTATAATATTTTATACATATATAGTTATGGACTTATATGTCCTGTGCTTGTTATGCTATGCTGGTTGTGTTAATTAGTTGGTCTCTTTAGTCCCACATCGATAACGTGCGCAATAGAAAGGAGCGAAACATGTATAAAATAAGAGGGATCTCTCTCGTCCAAAGAATACCTTTCTCGGCCTTTTGGCTAAGATCAAGTGTAGTATCTGTTCTTATCAGTTTAATATCTGATACGTGGGTCATCGATCCACTATGATATTAAATTAATTTCTTGTGGGGGAGGGCCCATCATAGTGGCTTGCCATTGGGGACA